GTCAGGATGGATCCGAGTCCACCTAGCAGCCAATCAGCTGTCAGGATGGATCAGAGTCCACCTAGCAGCCAATCAGCTGTCAGGATGGATCCGAGTCCACCTAGCAGCCAATCAGCTGTCAGGATGGATCAGAGTCCACCTAGCAGCCAATCAGCTGTCAGGATGGATCCGAGTCCACCTAGCAGCCAATCAGCTGTCAGGATGGATCAGAGTCCACCTAGCAGCCAATCAGCTGTCAGGATGGATCCGAGTCCACCTAGCAGCCAATCAGCTGTCAGGATGGATCCGAGTCCACCTAGCAGCCAATCAGCTGTCAGGAAACAATGACATGTCGTTTGATTGAAGATCAGATTTAATACAGAGGAAAAAGAACCGTAAAGGAACCTGAAAAATAAAACAAATTCAACAGTTTCATAATTTATCTCTTTATTTTTATTTTTCCTCCTTCTAGATATACCAACCGTCTAGCAGTATAATAACTATAATGTCCACACACTCGCTGGTATTCACCGGCTTCTTGCATAATTGTTTTATGAAGCTAAATTAAAAATAAATACAAGAAAGATTGGAGAGCAAAGTGTTAGAAGATTCTTTGGATCATGATGATAATTCGAGCGATAAAGTTTTTCCCATCCAGACTGTCAGATCTATCCCAGATCCAGGAACCATGTGTTTGCTGTGTGACATCTTAACACCGTATCATTAAGGGTTAAAGTCATCACAGGTGAGTCAATACCTGGAGTGCTGGGAAATTTCCTATTAACTGCATTAAGAAAGGCTGTTAGATAAACAAGTTGGGGAAAAAAATGTATTACTCTATTCTTCTTTTTCTTGTCTACTGCAACAGTATAAAGGTGAAATGTTCCACTTTAGGCCCCTTTAGTCGCTCATAGATCCATGATCAGGGATCTGTTTCACGAACCAGGTTTAACAAACTCAGACTCTAATTCTCTTCTCTGAATTAATCTATCCTGACGATGAAGACTTGAGTTTTCGGTTTCTTAAAAGCTGCTGTGAGTTAAGGCCAGAACACACCGGCTGCACGACTTTTTAATCTCTCATCTGATTTTTTTCCCCATGTAACACTGGGTATAGAGAAGCTCCGACTAGGCAGGGTGAGCAGATCTGTGCAGATTGTTTTTACTTCCATCTCTGTGTTTCACACATATTGAAACAATTTCCCACATTTGACTTAGACAGGTTATGAAAAGTCATTATAAAAATTATAAAACCAGCGGTGCATTCTATATATCAAAGCTGAAGAATATTCAAATATAAAAAAAACAACATGACATCTACATCTAAAGAAAAGAAAAACGCAGCGATAAACGCTGTGGGATGGTTTCTATGGTGACTGAGGCAGAGAGGTGATTCTCAGAGAGAGATCTGGGAAGTTTATCCAAGTTTTTCTTTCTCTTTTTCATAAAGAGGTGAGAGAGATACGCTGCATTTACCTGCTCTGTCTGATCCTCGTTATTGTGGTTTCTGTGAGGCTCAAAGAGGATCACTACTTTATCCGTTTTCTGTCCTGTTGAACTCCTATCATGGGGAAAGTTTTCTTTTTTAATGTTTCATTCGTTGTTTTTGCACTAATAGGTCCTGCTTACTATATACGCGATGCTAGACTCCAAACTGACTGTTTCCCCGTACGATTAACAGATTTTATTTTGTATTTTCCCCTAAAGCAGATGTGTTTTTCTTCCTGTCAGACTCATGAAATTGCTGCTGACTAAAATAGACCTGGGCTCTATCTCAGTGGGAGCTACACTGCCCCCTGCAGGAAATCATCCCCATTGACTTTCAAGAGCGTTAAATGCCACGACTTTCTGTCGGATCAGACGCAAAATCTGATTTGGTGGTGTCTGGGCTTAAGATTTAATTTTTATATACCCTGATATGTTTATACATTTCAAGTGTCCATTTTTCACATTTATCAGCTTAACTGAAAATGTATTTATGATATCTGTAAAAAAAAAATGCTGACCAGCAACAGTAGAAATATGGAGGTCTGAAATTAATTTCTAGATATCCAGCATGTTTTAAACACCACCAGAGGGTCTTCAGTCAGAGGCTTCTCCAGATCCAGTGCAGACAGACCTCTACAGGAGATCCTTCCTGCCTGCAGCATCAACACCTGTTTAAAAAATAGCATATGAGTTACTGCAACATTTCATTTCCCTTTGGGAGTAATAAAGTATTTTTTTAAATGAAATTGTCCCAAGGTCACTCCAGAGCAGTTGGAATTGGAAACTTGTCCCACTGGAAGGAAGGCGGTGCTGCAGGTCTGTGGAACATGGAGGAGGGGCCATGGTCTTGGCTGTGGACCACAGGCAGTTTCCAGCCACACAAACATGGCGAGCAGAGCAATCCTATTGATGAGTTCGTGATAGAGTGGTTGGATCTCTCTCCATTTTAACCAGAGGAAATTGGGGGAGAACTTTGTTCTGCAGAGGTCAGCAGCACTGAGCAGTTCTGCTTTGATCAGAGGTTCTGCGTGGCACCATCAGGTAATATCCCAATCAAACATGTTTGACCACAGTTTATAAGTTTAATCAGGGCTGACCTGTGTCAGCACCCAAAAACAGCTTGGTGTGAATAGGAAAAGAAATATAGTAGCAGTGTGCGAGGAAAGGTAAGTAGTTATAACCAAGCTTGATTTTAGTTAGATATCTGTTCGTCTTTTATTAATACATATTAAGAAGGAACTTCTTGAAGAGTCAAATGGTAAATTTGTGGACAATCCTTAAGAACCAGTTAGGAGACGTCACTGTTTCCTTATCGATTCCTGGCTGGTCTCAAAATTTCCCACAATGCACCTTGAAAAGCAGTGATCATCCATAGTCGTTAGGTTTAGCAGATATATCCCAGAAAGCTTTGCAAGAGGTCTCCTCACTAAAAGCATTATGGGAATTGTTTTGACAGCATGGGCGGGGCTGGAGTCATGTGACCAACAGGTAGTGATCATTTGTCCAAACATCGGCTCTAACTCCTCCATCACGACATATAGAGCGGGAACTTTGCTCCATTAACCTCACTCTGTTCAGATAGAAAACCGCTACAGTCGGATGTTCCTAGGGATGTGACGCCCAAACAGAGCTATATTAGCTGGTTTATTAATAGAGTTCAGGCCCTGCTTTCACAAAAACATGATTAAGCAGAGGACACTGCAACAGAAAGACGTGTTTGTCTGATCTACCGGCTATTTACACACTGAAACAAGAGTTTTTCACTTGCAAGGCCACAGAATGCCTTAGAGAGGGCTGTTTATAGACAAGACATACTTATTCCCATAACAAGCCAGATCTTTCTCAAGGTTTAATCATAACATGTTACTGTTAACCCAAAGTTTCTGTAATTTGTTTTGACTCTAATTTCCATTACTGTGAGTAAGGGGGAACGAACGCCGTCCAGATCAGAACAGGGCTGATTACCGTTCAATAAGGGCTGCATGATAAAAAGTTCTCTCTTTGCTAAGATAAAATAAAGTGCCGCCTGAGTGAAATCCATCGATCTCTGTTTATTTAACTGGAGTGAATAGTTGAATTCTTTTTTTCTCAAAACAGAGGCCTTTTATTTTCTCATGCACTTCAGACACTTTTTTCTCTTACGACCCTCGGCCATTTTCCAAGAATCGCGGTGAGCGTTAGTGACTGTCTGAAACCGTAATTCACCACAGATATACGCCTAAAAGTGCGCATGTGCAGAAAAAGATAGCTAACGGGACGAGCAGGTAGGACGGCCTTACCTGAACGTATCAGCAGAGTGATTGACAATTAGAAGGACCACTTATTTAGATGATCCACCCGGAAATAACCGACCGTCCTCTTTACCTTTAACATGGCATAATTGTTCTGTCTGGTCTAAGTGCAATAAACGCCACATCATCATTTTAGGCTAGAAAGATAATACACATTCCTTTCTGNGTCTGGTCTAAGTGCAATAAACGCCACATCATCATTTTAGGCTAGAAAGATAATACACATTCCTTTCTGTGAATTTGGATGGATTTTCCATCTTTTAAAAATGATCGTTCTCTTCAAAATGAACGTTTTTTTCCCCGATAACATTTAGGTAATGTGACTGACACCGAGCTAATGATCATGCAGATCGATTTTTATCCAGTTTTATTGCATTTACTATTTATTACCAACCTTTAAAAGGTAAAAATGGGATTAATGTTCATTTCTTATAAAAAAAAAAAAAAGAAGTTTATTGTAGAGCCCTGTGCTGCAGGCATCCCTCTGGGATACCTGTAGCTTTTAGTCGATGGTGAAGTAAAGGCCAAGGTCAGAGCTGCTGGAGATCTAATAGCTGCACTGAAAATTTTTTTTTAATCTGAATGAGTAATTTCTTCTAAAAATAGGTGCATTTTTTCTTTAACTGAATTCAATTAGACTGTTAGCCGATGGAATAAGACAATTTACATTTAAAATAAGAAAAAACATTTGTATTGTCTTATTTTCAGTGCATATTATCTAATTATCTTATTTTAAGATTAAAAATACTCATTCCATTGGCAAATAATCTTATTTACCTACTGAATTTAAGTATAAATAAACTTAGTTGGAATTTTTTTGCTGTGTGACGGTCGACTTCCAGACGAAGTTTTCACAGCATTGAACTTTTCCACATTTACTGTTTCCACAGCTTTGCTCCAAATCCTGTCTAGCAGCGTGAAAAACTGTTTGAGGTTTGTTTACGTCCTGCTGCCGTCATCCCATAGCATGATGCTGCCACCTCGGCTCAACATGGAGCTTCATGGTAAAGACTGAATGCTTGTGGAAATGTGCTTTTATTTTTCACGAATTGCAACAAATACAATAACTATTTCCCACATCGCTGCAATGAGGTCTGAGATTTATTTCTTTGCCGTTTGGGATCAGCCTGCTTTAACGTGGAAGAAGTTCAGTGGCGTGAAACTTCCCAGATGGACCGCTTTCAGGATAGAAGCTCCTACTGCTCCACAGGCTACAGAGAAAAAGGAACCACCTGTAGCTCAGCGGACCGTTTACCTTTCATCAGGACATTCCCCAAAGTCCAGAGAAGCTCATGGTGAGGTTTCAACAGCCGTTGATGGTGTGGATCATCTGAATCTTCATCAATCTTTACGGAGAAGCAGCTGTTTTCCAGCAGGATCGGGACCACCTCAGTACTGGGCCAACCAGGCTGCACATGGAGGAGGTACCAGACCCAACTTTCTGCATTAAACTGGCTTCCCACCTTGGATGATGTCAAAATCATGGACTTTAAAGGACCTTCCAGGACAGCTGTCCTTGAATCCACTGACCATTTACCTTGTGTTTACACGTTTTGGATTTACAGATAAACTTTACTCAAAGGAAAAAATGTTAAAGTGTAGTATAAAGAGCTGGATGGCGCAGTCACATGTCTGAACTATCACGGCGCTCAGAAGTTAAGGCTGGTTTATACTCAGAAACCAGGTTGTCTGCGTGTGTCGCAGTTAACGCAGATATGCCCCGCCCCCTTCTGCAGACACTCTGCTGCACCTCTCCAATATTGTAGGTGACTGCAGACAGGAGGCCTCTGATTGGTCAAATCTACATCCTCTCTACACTATGCATATTTCCTGTTGGGAACCTTACCGGCTTGTTTTCTTTTTATGACCGCCATTGTGGAAAACGACTCGTGAAGATGGACCAGCTAGATGCGCGAGAATGTTGGGACCCTTTTTCCACCTGGATCCCCGCTCTTTTTGGCCCTCATGTCCCTCCGTTGTCGCACAAACTTGCCCCCACTTCCTCACCGCCTCTAGACCCACAGCTAGTTCCTGATTGTCCCTCTTGCGTTGTGGAATCACATAGCGCAGACCACGCTTCAATATAGGGTATAAATCTAAAATATCTGCGACAAACTCAATGCGACACACTGCTGTGTTTATGGGTCGTACACACTAACCACTGCGCCACCAAAGTACGGCCGTCTTTACAAAGATTTAGTTTCTGGGATAAAACAGCGGATCCAACTGAAGGCGTCTGGAAACGCTGACCTCAGTGACCTCATCTACTCCATTCCAACGTGACGGATTCCCACCTCCAGTGACGAACTGAACTGGCAGGTCCACAGAACCATTATAGTCGGATAACTGGAGTCCAATACTTTGGTCTGGTAGCGTCCAATAACCGGCTCAGTATTTGTTTCAATCTAACCATAAATGTTTTTCATGTTCACGACGCTAATAAACAAGTTTTATACGAAGCAAATTAATTTAGAAACTAATCAGCATAGAAGTTATGAGGTCAAGAGGGGATTGAAGTCACAGCCTTTGTTTTCATCGTTCAGCCTCCAGAACACAGACATGTTAAGGAGGTTGGTGACCTCTGACCCCTGATGGAAACCTGAAGGTTTTAGCAGCCATGCATCCTGAATCTGTGCTGGAGGCACCGATCCGCATGTCGGTGGATCAGAACCAGACCTCTAAAGCTGAACTGTGGGGAATGTGAGGAAGAAGCTCTTCTTCGGGTCGGACAAAGAGAAGCAAACCAGGCTGTAGGTTCAAGGTCCGTTTAATGTTCTAGAAAAGGAAGATATGACTAAAATAAGGAGGGAGTCAAATAGAAAGAGCATCTCTCCTCATGTCCCGCCGCCGTCAACAGGAAATCAGATGGAGACGCTCTCCTTCAGCCATACGAATCCATAGAAACGGCATTTCTGGTGGTCCGGTGTGGATCAAAGGCACATCAAAGCTTTCAATCTGACTTTGCGGGGGATTGCTGCACACGCACAGGGAACACAGACGCATGCAGGAGCCCTGAAATGAGGCCTGCCGTGTAAGGAAAGCAGAGGTGGAACAGTTTGATTCAGAGGTTGGTTTAGCCTTTTAATTTGGAGCCTGTAAAAAGGGATCAGATGATTTAAAAAACGTTACTGAAGCGATGCGATCCGAGTCAAATCAAAGGTGGAGAGGCTTCGGTTACCTATGTGTGTTTTCTTCTCTTAAATAATATATCCTGGGTTACAACCATCACCGTTTCAAAGAAAAAAAAAAGGGCTTAACATTCAGTACACCTCTGAAGGTAGCTTCCCTTATATAATCTGTCATCTTTCCTCTGCAGTTATGTATACATAAACAAGTTTAATAACATACCAATCAGTGGTTATTTCACAATTGGAAAAAAGCACAAAATGTTTACAGTCTTTTACAGGTGGATAAAAGTTTCTCTTAATTCTTGGATGAGGGCTTAGCTCCCCTCCTTCACTACTGCTCTGTAATTAGATCTTTACATACAAATATTGACAGTGATGGCTTTGCCCTCTGAAGCCGTGAAGTCTTTAAGGATCGGGGGGGAAGGTGCTGGGAAACGGCTCAGAGCTGGCCCTCGCTGCAGTGGCCGTCCTGACTGCCGGCGGCCTTCTCTGCATCCTGGCCGGACAGGTCTTTGAGGAGGAGGGCGGCGCTCTTCTCGGAGAACTCGTCTCCGTCGGGCTCCAGGCCGTCGGGGCAGGGCAGCTTCAGGAGCTCCTCTCTGAGCTGAGCCGTGTGTCTCTGCAACAGAAACGACATTCATTAGTGGAACGGCTGGCCTACAGTCTACAGCCTAACCTGATCCGAGGACTCAGCTTCATCTCATGACTAAGGGAGCACTTTACAGACCCATCTTTAAACCTTTAAACCATTTTTTCTTGATACGATACAGCTGTAGTGTTTCAGTCAGGGAGGAAATCTCCAAACAGGAAGTTACCTTCAGAGCGGCGGCGTGATGCGACATGGTGCGGCCCACCCTCTTGTCATTGCTGTACTGCTGGATGTCAGCGATCCACTCCTCGCACTGAGACATGATCTCCACCCTCTTCAGGTAGAAATGCTTGTGGATTACCTGCAGACAAGAGTTGAGAAACACCTGAACAAAAGGAGATTCCTGGGACTTTTTCCCCCTTTTTTTCTCCATCCTAAATTATCTGTTATTTTAATTGACGCTGTTCACACCAACGTTGAGGCAGCTGGTTGGACAAGATTGTTGCTGATCTGGAAGCACTAGTTTGTGGAAAACCTCCTTGTTTCCTATCAGCCTTTTAAGATTATTTTATAAGCCAAAAAAAGACAAATTCCGCTTGTCTGTCCCACTCACCAAGCAGGTCGACGTGTGCGGAATACAGAACTATCTGCCTTCTCTGTGGAGTGGGCATAGCCACCCGGACATCTGTGGGCTCGATTTTTGTAATGTGCTTCCATCGATGGAAGCCTCAGATGGAAAGGACTATTTCCATTGAAAAGGGTTGCAGGAACCCTCAGAAAATATAAAGCAAAAAATAAAGGAAAATATGCCAAAAAACTGAATCTTATTCTTTTTCCAGTATTATAAAATATATTTTTCTTTTTAATCATTCTTGTGACGTATCATTTATGATATTGGGACGGAAAGCTGCTTCAAATAGAGAAAGATCAGATAACTTCTTCCTGTTAAACTCTAAAGTCATTAAATCCTCCAAGAAAAAGGGAAGAGATAAATACACAAACGTCTTGCTATATTTTTACATCAAATCCTGCCTCTGTGCTCCTAGTTTGGACTTAAATATATCGAATAAGCTTCTGTCTGTTGGGTGAGGCCAGAATCAACAATAGCCCCGCCCACTGAAACCGGCTCACTTTCTCCAAGTTTTTAAGTGACCAAACTGTTGATACAGAGAAAACCACAATGCTTACCTCTTTGAAGCACGGCGACGGGTTGCGGATCTGTTCCAGCATGGCCCATTTTACTGTGGCCTGCCTGATGTTGCCGTCATACTCCCGGGAACTCTGGGTGCCGCTGGGGGTCCCGCGGGAACGCTCGTACCCAGGCTCGTTAAAGTAGGGCTCAGCCACTAAGATGAGGGACTGCACAGAAACTAGCACCTGGAAGAAGCCAGAGAAGAGGCGGGGTTAACAGGCAGGAGGGAAAAAAGAGGCAGGGTGAACAGGGCGGAGTGAAAAAAAAAGAGGATGGGTTAACATGGCAGGGTAATAATAAGAGGTGGGTGTAGCACAACGGGGTCGAAAAAGAGGCGGGGTTAACATGGCGAGGATAAACCAGTACGGTAAATAAAGAGGCGGGGTTAATATGTCTGGGTAAAAAAAAAGAGCTTTCAGAAACAAACTTTTCCAAAGGGACTTTATGGTACCAACATTCTCCTGATGTCCTCAGCGAACCTTTCCTGCATTATTTAACCTGTTTCGCTAACAGCCTGTCTCCATGGAGTCATTACTCTGTTTGCTCCAAGCCAAAGATGAATCTGAAGGTCAGCCTGCTGGCCTCAGCCCAACTAGGACAAACATAAAGAGGCTCCCTGAAGCAGACAGCAGGAGATGTCCGCTAAGAGCAGGCAGACGTTCCAAGCTGCCCTCATTTCCATTATTGATGCACTGAATGCTAATTGGAACAATAAACATTCAGCGGATCTAAGTCTCTCTGCAAATGAGTGAAGTGTAAAGAAACAAAGAGAGGAGTGATTGGCTACCCTGGTGCACGAATCGATTCCTGTACTGGAATAATATTATTCAAGGTTTCCGTGCTATCCCTTTTCTTTCAGTCACTGAGCAAACCAGTTTGCCTTTGGCAGCCTCTTTGGTTTCCTTTTACTGTTGCCCCCTGGACTGTAATGGGAGTCTTCCTCACAACTTACAACCAGTGGAAAGAAAAATCACCCAGGTTACCCTCGAGACGTTTCACCAGGTTGGAATATTCTTCCACTCTGCAGAATCTGTTAGTTCAATCTCTAAC